CCTAGTGAATCATCTCTGACCACAGACTCAGGGTGTGAATAGTCTTGCTATCACACAGCATGCAATGGAAAGTGGATTGTTGCACATGCAGTTAGGTTAAAATTTAGCTCCCTATCATTTGATCTCCCTTTCTTTTCAATTGAGGTTTAATGTGTTACTTTGTTATTGTTAGTTTTGTTTGTTTTTTTAAGCAATATTTTTTCTGTATATGAAATTCAAGATAGATAAATCTAGAGAGACAGTAAAAATGATTCTGTAGGACTATGGCAGAGGAGGCTGGGGGAAGTGGGTCACTAATAATGAGTACAAGAATGAAGAAAATGTTCTAAGACTGTGGTGATGATTTTACAACTCTTCTTGATGTGATCGAACTATTGAATTGTATGTTATGTGAATTATAAGCCAATAAAACTGTTCAAACTATGTTTAGCCCTCAAACTTAAAAAGAGGTAAAGTTAGAAACAAAAAATGTAAAATAATCAATCTTGAAGAGTCGCTGGAGCCAAGGACGGGGAGTGATCACCTAAAGAAAAGGTAAAAATCCTAGTCTTCAAATGGAATCCATCCCAGGACAAAACAGCCTTTAAGGATTAGCGCAAGAAGGAAAAGAAAAGATTCGGGAAGAATTGGGATCACACAAATAGGAGAACTGGGTTATCTATTTCACTGGACTGCATGTCCAACGTGAGCACGTTCAAAGTCCATCTCTTCATCTCCTGGGTTAACAAAAGTGGTCTGAAGTAGATGCTCAATAAATATTTGTTGAACAAATAATTGATTGGCATTGAAGCTACTGGAGAAGAAATGTTTGAAATGTTTCCAGGAGACGAGTCAAGAATTGTAAATGCTTTGAAAAAGTTAATGGAAGATAGAAAACATTTGACCAGTAAGTATTTGATTTGGCAATGAGCTGGTCAACAGTGACCCTAAAAATAGGACACTACGTGGGTTTGCTAGTCAGTGGGAAGTGAGGGAGAAAAGAGTGCAGATACAGACTACTCTTTTAAGAAGTTGGATGTGGGCAGTAAGAGAACTACATCAGTAGCTAGACGTAGTTCTGTAGTAGATCAGTAGCTAGAAGAATTAAAGTAATGTTTATGTCAAATGCGAGATAGTTCATCTTATTTATGAATACAAATATCATTGTAAACTTTAGACCAAGGCTCTAGTTTGCAAACAGTGGTGAACTTATCTACAGTAGTTTGAGAAAAAGGCACCTTGGTGGCACTGTCAGGTAAGTGTTAGAGGGCTGACTGCAAGACCAGTAGTTTGAACCCTCTGGCTGCACCTCCAGAGAAAGATGAAGCTATCTTAAGAACTCTACAAAGGGTCCATATGAGTTGGAATTAACTCATTGAAAGTGGAATGTTTTCAAAAAAGAAAGTGGAATGTTTTCGTTTTCGTTTGAGAAAAGACAGGAATATTTGAGAGTGGATGGAATGTATTAAATTTTTCCCTGCTTACCTGACAGTTTATACTCACCTAGATATTCAGAAAAAATACTGCAGAGGATAACAATTATATAAAAATCCTTCCCCCCAAAATTAAAGTTGAATCTTTGGAAACAATACTATAAAAAGAAACTAAAACTAATATTGGTCCTAAAATAATTTGTTTCATTCTCAGTATAAGCATTTCTCATCAGAGAGAAAAAATATATCTAGGTGTAGAGGTTTGAGAATACTTTTAAAATTTATTCTACAAAATATATTATTTTATATTCTATCTTCTTATAAACATCTTAAGATCTTTTATATTAGCCTTTGTTTATTAATGGGGGTTTAAAATGTATATTCCATTTCCACAACCCTGAGTCCAGAACATCCAGACAGTACCCAACCAGCTACCACTACTAACTGATCTGAAAGGGTATCTTCAGAAGTTCCCAAATAGAGTGGTAGAAAAATGTAGTACAGCACTCAAAATCATAAAAGAGACACGGCTTACTGGTCAGATAGCAAACAGTGGGGCCCTGTGGTAGAACAGTCAACCATTTAAGACCAAAAGGACATTAACCCAAGTACAAAGTTCAGAGGGTTAGGAGAGGAGGAGGAGACATGGAAACAGGAAGCACAGGTAAGGAGTGGGATACGTGATGCTACATTGTGGGGCTTGCAATGGATATGTTGAAACAAAATGTGTATGAGGTTTTGTTTGTTTTTAATTTACAACTGATCATCTGCTCTGTACACTTTCACTGAATTCACAGTAAAAAAAAGTTGAAAGAAAACTAGATAAGGAGCCCTAGTGAGGCCAAGGTTGAGCACCCCAGCTGCTCATCAGAAGATCAGTAGTTTGAACTCACCAGACATTCTGCTGGTGGAACAACTATGGCAGACTGCTTTGATAATGATTACAGTTTTGGAAAGCCTAGAAAGGGGGGTGGGCGGGGTTCCTATTCTGTCCTACAGGGTCATTGAGTAAGAATCAATTCGACAGGAATGTGGCATACTTAGATAATAAAGTCTATGTAACATTCAAAACAGAGTCACTGTACCAAAAAGAGCTAGTCAACATTCAACCATTTCAAGAGGTAGCATATGAGCAAGAGCCAGTGATACTGAAGGAGAATGTTCAAGCTGCACTGAAAGCATTAGCCAAAACAAGGCTCTGGGAATTGAAAGAAGACCCACTGAATATTTTAGTAAGCTGATAAAAGTCTTGGAAGCACTCACCCGTCTAAGACAGGAAATTTGGAAGACAGCCACTTTGCAAACTGATTGGAAGAGATTCATATCTGTAGACATTTCAAAAAAAGGTAACAACAGAATACCCAAATTACGGAACAATAGCATTCATATCATATGCAAGTAAAATTGTGCAGAAGATCATCCAACAAAGGTTGCAGCAGTACACTGACAGTGAGCTGCCAGAGGTTCAGGTTGGATTTAGAAGAGGACATGGAACAAGGGAGATCAATGCTGATGCCATATGGATCTTGGCTGAACGCAGAAAAATAACAGGAAAATGTTTACTTGTGTTTTATTGACCATTCCAAGGCATTTGTGTGTGTGGACCATAACCAACTATGGATAGCCTCGAGAAGAATGAGAATTCCAGAACACTTCATTGTGCTCATGTGGAACCTGTACATGGATCAAGAGGCAGTTGTGTGAACGAGGTAATACTGCCGGTTTTAAATCAAGAAAGGTAGTCACCAGGGTTGTATCCTCTTGCCATATTTATTCAGTCTATATGCTGAGCAAATAATCAGAGAAGCTGGATTTATGAAGAAGAATGCGGCATCCGGATTGGAGGAAGGTTTATTAACAGCCTGCGATAAGCAAATGACATGACCTTGCTTCCTGGAAGAGAGGACTTCTTGAAGCACTTGCTGATGAAGATCAAGGATGGCAGCCTTCAGTATGGATCAAAACTCAATGTTAAGAAGACCAAAATCTTCACAATTGGACCAATAGGTAACATGATAAATCAAGAAGAGAATGAAGTTGTCAAGGATTTCATCTTGCTTGGATCCACAATCAATGCTCATGGAAGCAGCAGTCCAGAGATCAAAATGATGCATTGCACTGGGTAAATCTGCTGTACAAAGTCTCTTTAAAGTATTGAAAAGCAAGGATGTTACATTGAGGAGGAAGATGTGCCTGACCCAAACCATGGAATTCTTAATTGCCTCATCCGCATGTGCAAGTTGAACAGCGAATAAGGAAGACCAAAGAAGAATCAATGCACTTGAATTGTGGAGCTGGAGAAAAATATCAAAGGTACCATGGACTGCCAAAAAACCAAACAGATCTGTCTTGGAAGAAGTACAGCCAGGATGCTCCTTAGAGGCAGATGATGAGACTTCGTCTCACATACTTTAGACATGTTGTCAGGAGTGGCCAGTCTCTGGAGAAGGACATCATGCTTGGTAAAGAGGTGGGGCAGCGAGAAAGAGGAAGGTCCGCGACAAGATGGACGGACACAGCGGCTGCAACAATGGGCTCAAACATAAGAACAAATGTGAGGCTGGCGCAGGACCAGGTGACGTTTCATTCTGTTGTACAGAGGGTCACTATGAGGCAGAACCGACTCTACGGCACCTGACAACAACATTTAAAACTGATTTTAGTCAAGTTATCACTACTATTCAGTTTTACAAATTGTAGTTTAGACACTTATAGACTTGTGTAAACTCTACAAGATAGGAAAATGTGACCATCATTCAACCAAAGGATACAATATAAAGTAAAAAAGAAATTAGCAAGCAGGCAAGAGTGCCAACCCACTGGAATAAACAGAGTGGGAAATGACAGGGCATGGAGCAAATTAAAACCTACCTCTTAGACATGACCACTAGATGGTGCCACTGTTTTTCAGGACTTAAATGGAATACCCTAACAATTCAAAGCTTAAGGAAATTTCCAAAAGAAATTTAACTTTTTGATTCTAGAAAGCCCTGGAATTTTTTTTTGTTTGTAACCTTGTAGGACTTTAATATATGTGTTTGTTTGCTTTGTCTGGGGAAAAAAACATTTTGAGCTAGTATATTTTCAAAATCTGAGTCAGTGGTGGGAAAAATATGGGGCTTTCTCCTTTTATAAAGGTTTACAACCTTGGGAATCCCTTAGCTAGTTCTACATGGTCAAAGAGGGAAGCCATGAGTCAGAACTGACTCACTGATCATGAATTTAAATTAGCTGCATCCTACATGTGATTAACTGCCCCCGAGTGTGATAGTGATGAAGTTAGTGTATGTCTTAAAGTCCTGGGAATAACTGAAGCCTAATAGTTCTACAGAAGCAAAATATTATAAACGTGAAACACCAAAAGGAGACATCTAGACTCAAATTATTATCTGCCATCAAGTCAATTCCAAGTCAGTGATCCTGAAGGAGAGGAATTTCTGTGGGTTTACAAGGCTCCTTACAGGAGTGGCTGATGGGTTCAAAGTGCTGGTCTTTTGGCTAGCAGCCCAGCATAGAATCCACGATGACACTAGACTGTCTACTCTTATATGCTGGAAGGCTTTGCTGAGCAAACAAATGAGTACTTACTTGAATTAGGGGGCCAAGACTCCCGGTATTCACTGCCTCCTTGAGTTCTGGGTGACTTGCCCCGAACCTGAGAACCACATAAAAATCACAAGAGTTATGATCAATAGGGGAACTTAAGAAATTTACATCCTAAAAGTCTACCTAAAACATGTACTTTTCCTATCACTTCTTTCATGACCTAAAAAGTGAACCTATCTATCCTAACAATAGGAGCCCTGATGGTTATGTGATGGACTGCTAACCTTAAGGTCAGCAGTTCAAAACCACCAGCAGATCCAGGGGAGAAAGATGAGGCTTTCTACTCTGGTAAAGAGTTACGATCTCAGAAACCCACAAGAGCAGTTTTAATCTGTCCTATGGAGTCATGATGAGTTAGAATCAACTCGATTGCAGAGCGTTTTTTGTTTTATCCTAACAATAATAAGGTATACTTATACAGTGATTTTTTTCTTTTTAACTTTCAATGTACTTTCTCGTACATTATCATCCACTGTAATCTGGGCCAAGCTCATTCGGAAGTTGAAAGGGAGGGGAGTAAGCAGTCATGAGTGAGGACATGTGTCACAATTCTTGGACACCGCTATAGTCACGGGGGCATGAGTTATCATAAACTCCTTCCCTGGATTCCCGTATCATGGTGAATCGTCAGCTCCACGGAGATGGAAACTCAGGAGAAGGGCAACCATAACCTTAAGCAGGGTCTTGTATCTCTTACCCTGCCTTCCTCTAAATCAGCGGTTCTCAACCTGTGGGTCGTGACCTCTTTGGGGGTTGAAGTCTAACGACCCTTTCCCAGAGGTCACCTGATTCATAACAGTAGCAAAATTACAGTTATGAAGTAGCAACGAAGATAATTTTATGGTTGGGGGGTCACAACATGAGGCATATTGAAGGCATCGGGAAAGTTGAGAATCACTGCTCTAAATGGAGTCTCTGGGTGGTGCAAACAGTTAAGTGCTGAGCTGCTAACTGAAAGGCTGGAGGCCTGCCTCTACCCAGAGGCGCTTCAGAAAACGCACGTCACTGAGAACCCTAGAGGGCCTCCTTCTCCTCCGACACAGACGGGGCCACCAGAAATCAGAATCAACTCAATGACGCCTTTTCCTCAAATGTAACACTCATCAGCCAAGCTCTCTCGGGAGTTTTGCCTAACAGACACCACGGGGAGATTACCCTCCTTTCTTGTTTCTTCTGGGTCTCCACGGTATGCAGACGCTCCATGAGGCTGGAGATGCCCTGCTCCAGGCTGTCGATGGTGTGGTGCTGTGGGTCGTGACCACTGAAGCTGTTGCGCAGGCTGCGGAGAGCGTCCCGGACCAGCTGCAGCTCACTGGTCTGCGGGCAAAAGTAAGGCACCGTTGGCATTGCGCATGCCGTGGCATCGACCAGGCCTCGGCCACTGGGCTTAGGGAGACCCAGGAGAGAGGCAGGCAAGGTCTTTCATCCTTGCAGGAGAGGGGCGTGGTGTGAATGGAAGGAGGTTTTCCTCCACCAAAGTGGCCCACCTGTATGTTTACGAATTCTATTTTTTTATCTTTTTTTAAAAGTTTTTTAAAAAATCATTTTATTGGGGACTCTTACAGCTCTTATCACAATCCATACATACATCCTTTGTGTCAAGTACATTTGTACATATGTTGCCATCATCATTTTCAAAGCATTTTCTTTTTACCTGACCCCTTGGTATCAGCTCATTCCCCGACTCCCTCCCTTCAGGAACCCATGATAATTTGTAAAAATTTTTTCATGTCTTACACTGACCGCTATCTCCCTTCACCCACTTTTATGCTGTCCATCACCCTGGGAGAGGGTTATATGTCGATCATTGTGATTGACTCCCCCTTTTTCCCCCCATCTTCCTTCCTCTTCCCCTCTTGGTATCTCTACTCTCATTATTGGTCCTGAGGGGTTTATCTGTCCTGGGTTCCCTATGTTGCTTACTAATTCTTGATGTGGGAGACCAAGTGTCCCACATCCTTGCACACCTACTAGATGCCAGAACTGGGGAAGTGAGCTATCGAAGGCCCAGTCCATAGGGCACGCTGCTGCTGGCCGCTGGCAGGGGCAGAATGGCGTGTTCCTAAATCTAAAGAACCTACCCCTCGGTGCGTACTCGAAGCAGCTCCTTTTCCTGGCGCTGGAAGGAGGAACCCGTTGCTTTGAGAGTTGTGGCTGTTATAGCTGATGACCTAGAGCAGCAGGAAGAAGGAGGCAGCAGAGGGTGAGAACGGTGCCCACTGTGACGAATGTGGTCAGCGTCACTGGACTGCGCATGGAGAAATGCTGTACTGGTGGACACACGGCCTGTGTACTCTCAACAATAAGAAGAAAGTAAAATGTAGCTCCTCCTCACTGAGCAACAAGGTTCCAAAGACAAGGTCGTCACATGAAAATAGGAGTTATGTGAACATGGAGGGTGACCCGGTGCTCCAAGATGTGAATGCAACATACCGGCATGAATCAGGGAACCAGTAGAGAGGTCTGAGGGGCCA